CTGGACTCCAAGGCCATGTCCGGGAGCCATGGGTTGTACTAGGAAGGGCTGGGGACAGAAGCTCTTCTTGCTAGAGCTTAGGAAGAGAAGTAGGCAAAGCTTCAGGGAACACAATCAAGTCAGAACAAAATTACCAGGTTTCTGTGGCTGTTCAGCCTCTCTCCTCAACCACTCACCAGGGAAATACTCCCAGAAAAGAGATGGAGAGCTAGGAAAAGGACAGAGAAAGGGAAGGGGGCCAGGAGAAGAAAGAGATGGAGACTGCCCCGCCTCCACACACGTGCTCGCACACAAGGAAGCGAATCTGTCTACTTCTGGGCGTACATGTCTGTTTCTGCCCACGGTCAAGCCACGGGGGATCTCCCTTGTGGGAGATGGATCGCAGTGTTGGGCTTCTCTCTGTGAGTATATAAGCTGCGAGTGCATCTCTCTGTGTATGTCCGTGCACAACCATGGGAATGCTTCATGCACACGTGTGTCTCTATGTGTGGCTCTGCCCCTCCCCATACTCCCTGCGTCCCATTGTGTGCGCCCGCCTGCCTGTGTGCAAATCTTCTGTGGGTTCACGTGTGCACAGGCAGTGTCTGTGTGCCTGGCTCCCTGGGCCTGCCTGGTCTCCAAGCATTTCTCTGGGGCCTTTGTATTCTGAGGTTTGGAGTAGGAGGGACTTTTATTCCCCCTTTCTAAGCAATCTGCACAGGCCGGGAAATGGGAAATGGCGTGGCTAGGAGGCCATTTGTCCTTCTCAAAGTGTCTTCATCTTGGAGGGAGAGACAGCAGCAGTCACCCAAGGACTGACTGATGCAATTTCTCGCCACTCCCCGGGTTCAGTAGCCATGCTGCTCAGAGAAGGGGCAGGGGCACGAGGTGGGGTGGGGTGAGGTGAGGAGGGACGAGAGCTGAAGGAATTCGTAGTCTTTATCCCACCTTGAAATGAGACAGGGAGATATGAAAGAGAAACACTTTGGGGTCGGTGACTTTTTCTTTTCAACTGTAATTGTTAGAACATTGCTCACCTCCTAGAATGGGGCTCCCGGGTCAAGGGGAACTCTAGTCTCTAGAAAACCGGCTCCTTCGTGGGCAGGGTTGAGAGGGTCTTTGCAGAGGCCTGAAGCTCATCCCCACACCTGGTTTTAACCCCCTGCCTCCCAGCATCTACCTCCAGTTCCCTCAGCTCCATCACATCCCCCTCCTGCCTCCTCCTGGCCAAGGGAGGCCTGGGAAGGAAAGGGTTATCCTGGGGGCAGTGGGGATGGGAAATACCTATAGGATGCTTTTTGGAAGGAAGAAGCCTCTGCGAGTGCAGCTGAGAGGAGCTTTGCCATCTCTACCCTGGGAGGAATCAAGATTACATACCAGGCAGAAACTAGAAAGACTGAGCAGGGGTGGAGAGAAATGAGAAGCAGGAAATCATTGCCCACCTTCTCTGACTTTCCTCTCTCTTCCCACATCCCTTATACACTCTAGGGAGGTCCTTGATCTCCAAGGCCCCGTCTACACAGGCCTCAGCTACCTGGATCACATTCCATTGACTTTCTGGATACAATCCCAGAGGCAAGTCCAGGCATCCAAACTCAAATGAGGTTTGGAGCTGAGTAATCAGCTGCTATGGCTTTGCAGACATTTTGCCGGGGAACAGCCAGCTCCCCACCCCCACCTCAGATTTGGGGGTGGAGGAGGGGCGGCCTGTCACTGGGTGTCTTCCCCCTCAACCACCACCACCGCGTTCTCCCTCTTCCCACCTGCAAGTAATTTGGCCAATGGGAGGGCAGTGAAGATTGCAGTGTGGAATCCCTCAAGAGCGGTGTGTATTTGGTGAGGAGGGGGCTACCTCCCTTCCTCGAAGACCCCATGTGCCCTTTTCCTCTCTACAGCAGCAAATTACTTGTAATTATCTCACATTGAAAGCTTTCAGGAGCTGCTCCCAAAATTGCTTTAATTGAATTAATTAAATCTCATTTTGTTGGGGGAGAGCATGGAGCATGACTTAAAATAGTACACGGGGAGAGGGAAGGTAAGGGACCCAGACAGGAGGGGAGACCCAAGTCAGCTTTCCTGTTGCTGAGGGCCTTGGAGACGGGAACATGTGCCCTGGATATTCTCTGGACACAATTTCCTGTCTTCCAGTTTCAGCTGACTTCAGGTGCACTGCGCTGCGCCTTCTGCGTTTGGGACCTTGCCTGGATCCAGCTCTCGGATGGTGGTGACCAGCAATGCTCTGAGTTCTCCAGCCTCGCCTCGTTCCTCCTCCGCCCCCTTAGGAGGCAATTCTCCCAGAGGCAGAAGGTGAATGGAGGGCAGTAGGAATTCCCCCTGGCTGTAACACCTCCCCTTCTTCCCCCGATAATCACAGCAGTTGTAAATGCCATTTATTAAGTGCTTACTATGTTCCAGGCACCGTGTCAAGCATGTTACAAGCACTATCTCATTTTGTCATCACAACCACACTGCAAAGCAAGTCCTATTAGTATTCTCATTTGGGTGGGGCTGGGGGATGGGAACAAGCAAGGCTCAGAGAGAGGTTAAGTAACTCACCAGAAGTCACACCGCTAGCAGGTGACAGAGCTGGGACTCTGTAGCCTAAAGCCCCTGTTCTTAACCACCCAGTCTCAGTACCCGGCCATTACTGACCCAATTTTCCCAGCAGGGCTTTTTGGGGAAAGGAACCATGGGACTCTCCTTCTACAGCCTTGATGGCTTGGAGGGAAGAGAACAGGCACCTCCTCCACCCGGGCTCCAGGGCCACCACCACCCAGGAGCTCAGGGAAACTGGACCAGCTCCCAAATGGAAGAGAGATTCCCATTTCCCCTGAAAAGGAGGGATGGGGGAAGCGGGAGGGGGCGGGGAGAGGGGGGACACTGTCAGCTCAGCTGGCCTCTGGCTGAGAGAGTAATTACACTCCTTCTGCTACTTAACTTTACAACCTGGGCTGTTGTTTTAACAATGTGACTTGTGTTGGGCTGTCCAATTAATCTCGCCTTTGGAGGCTTTCCTAGATGGGGTGGTAGATCTTATCTTGGGTCTGTGGAAAGAGGTGTGTGCAACCTGCAGTGGGCGGGAACAGCTGCCCGGAGGGCCTGTGGCCTCAGAGGAGACCCAGAGGAGAGAACCGGGGCTGGGGTGACAGAGCCGGTGGAACCTGGGGCCTGGAGCAGGGAAGACAGTGGAGTTTCTCCTCCTGGCACTCCCCTTCCTCACCACGCTTGGATCTTGGCTTTGGCCTACCTGTGCCATCCCCAAGAGAATCCTCTGGGTGTGTTTTGTGGAATGGGGGTAGTCGCTGACCCAGACAGGGTGAGGAACTGCAGCATCGGAGCTGGGGGGTTTCACGCCCCTCTGCCCTACATATGACTCCAATATGGGCTTCTCTCTGGCCTGCAGAGTGGGCTGGAAGCGTCTGAGTGGGCTTTTCCGACGGGGCAGGCACCGAGTTTGCAGTGTCCCGGAACAGGTCTAGGCAGTAAGAGGGAAGCTCAATTTGGAAGCTTTTGGCCTGGATTTGGAGGCCCTTCCCCCAACCCCTGGGGCCATGCTGGGCTGGATTCCCTGAATTATTCTGCCACCCTTGTCCTCAGCCCCCCTCCCACAGGCGTTCCTTATCCTGCTGATCCTGGTGGGAGCGACGGTGGTGCTATGTAGTCCGGTGGGGTGTGGTGGCCAGAACTGCAGGGTTCTGCTTCTCCCAGGCTGCCTGCCCTTCTCACCCAGCACTGACCCCCGAGGCCCAGGCTAGATCGGAGCCCCTTGACAAGACCCATGCTGCTATCGCTGGAACTCACCACAGCAGCGTCTGGTCATTTGTTTGCCTCGGTCACCATGGTATCCCTAGGATCCGGTAGAACACAGGCTCTTCAAATGTTTGTTGCATGGAAGAGAATTCCAGGTTTTTTTTGGTGTTTTCCTTCTCAGAACTGCCCCTCCTCCTTCCCCGAGGTGAGCTGAGGCCATCCTGCCCCCAAGCAGCACACCTCTCCAGGTAGGACTGGACCGGATCTGTGGGTGTGCCCTCTCTCAAGGTGAACTGGGCCTCTCCCTGGGCCAAAGGTAAGGCACGGGGGCTGGAAGGTGCCTGGCTCCCTCCAGAAGCAGGCCAGGAGAGCGTCTGCTGGGGAGGAGCACTCAGACCTTGCATGAGCATCTCCTGGGTTCACACAGAACCATATGAGACAGTGGACATTGCTGGAACATTCCAGAGACAGAATCACAGAGCTACTTAGTGGCAAGGCAAATCTAGAGTCCAGTGCCTCTGATTCCTGTAATTCCATGGCAGAAGAGTCAGCTGGACCAGAAGAGATGCTTGACCAGCCCCTACCCATGAGAAGTCAGGAAACAAACACATCTCACAGCCAGTGTGCCAAGTTTTGTACAGACTTTAATCTCTGGAAGCTCGTGGTGTGAAGCTCAAGCTCCAATTGGTTCTAAATTTGCACAGTTCCTTTGAATAGAGACAGCTTCGAGGAGCTGAATCGATGGGCCTACCCATCTATTTGGGGGTGTCTATACCCATCGATGGGCTTACCCATCTATTTGGGGGTGTCTATACCCACACTAATCCAGAGAGCTAGTTTGTCTCCATTTTTCCCTGAGTATTTCCTTACCGGGCTTTCAAAAGCATGTACCTGTGGGTTCATGGGAACAGGAGAGAGCCTTTCAATAAATACCTATTGGATTATATGAAAAATTGGACCCATTATCTATTCAAAAAGGGGAGATGGGGGAAAGGGAGCTTTTTTTAAGGAGGAGAGCATAAATTACGCATAGGTCCATGAACTCTACATTTTTCTGCATCTCGTCTACCTCTCAGGATGGTAAGTATGTAAATCAGTTATGGGGGTGACGGGCTGACCTCAGGGAAAAACTGCTGGGTGGGTGGGAGCCGATGGCAGCCACTGCTGAGGTCCACTTCTGCTTCCGCTCACAAATGGGTTGGGCAAGGCCCAAGGCACACAAAGAAAAAATACTCCACGTTTCTTGCTGGTTTTGCACCCAGGCTGTCGTGGGGGAAGTGGCAAGATCAAGGGTCCTGGGGACAGTCTCAACCCCAGCCAATGGCTCTCTCTCCAGAGCCTCTGTCCTGCTGGAGTGAAAGTGTCCAGTCCATGGTGGTGGTCGGGACAACAGTTATGGCCAAGGTCCGTGATTTAGGGGCACAGACTCCGCTCTTTTTCTCCTCTAGCTCCTTGTCCTCCAGAGAAAACCCATCTGGAGGTGGTTTCCTCCCAGCCCAGAGAAGGTGCAGGCAGATGGCCTGGGTCCTGGGCTTTGCAGGAGGGCTCGGGGCCTGATCAGCCCTTCCCCAGACTCACATCATCTGAGACGAAGCCAGGACATCTGAGGAGTGATGCTGATACCAGGCTCCAAAGCTGCTGCCATAGCCACTGGGGGGCAGGGTCCCTGCCTTGGGCAGATCCCAGAGGGAGGGGAGGGGTGGGGAGCAGGGAGACACGGAGAAGGTCCTCCCAGGGAAGTCTCTTTCTGGCCCCCCAGAATTCTGCTTCAGGAGCTTCTTATACTTAGAGCGTTTGTTCTGAAACCAGATCTTTACCTTCGGGGAGGAAAGGGAAAAGAATGAAAGATCAGGAGGAAGATATGTGTGGGAAGTTTCGAGGAAGGGAAAGGGATCCAGGTGTCAGGGAGCAGTCGTGGGAGCCCAGCCGAGTCTGGAACATTTGCTCCAGGCCTCCCCAGCCCCAGAAGTCGCCTGAGTTCCTACCTCTGAGCTAGTATCCATGTCTCCCTGCCTGCTGTACCCTCCTCTTCCTGACCCACTCCACCCCACCCGCACATACATGCACACCTTTCAACACACATTCCCGCCAGCGCTTGCTAAGAGCCAGCTCCAAACATTCCCCGGACAACTGTGACAACAGGGCCACAGCACCAAGCTATCAGTCATTCACACCTGGGGCTGGGGCATGAGTTCCCAGAGAACACGTGTGAGGAAGGTGAGAGCTCGGGAAGGATGACACTGGCCCCACCTGGGTCTGCGTGAGGCCAAGCTGCGCTGCCAGCTGGGCCCTCTCGGGCAGCGCCAGGTACTGCGTGTGCTGGAAACGCTGGTTTAGGTGCTGCAGCTGCAGGCTGGAGTAGATGGTCCTCGGCTTGCGGAGCTTTTTGGTCTGGGCCTGCGGGCGCCGCTCCGAGGGTTCCGGGGACAGCCGCGGCTTCTCCGAGTCTGGTGGGTAGCGCAACACGGTGTGGGGGGCGAGAAGGTGAGCGAAGGGGTAGGACAGGCGATTTCATAGGCTTATTTGCATCTCGTCTGCGGGGCCGTGGGCGGTAATTAGCAAAATGCACAGCCACGGGGATCGCCCCCCTGCCCCTGTCCTCTACCTTCCGAGTGGAGCGTTTCAACCCCCACGTTCACCATTCACCGCGCCAGGTGATACAAGGCGCAGTTCTGCTCTCAGGGAGCTCCCACTCGTGTGGGTTCTATGACCGCAGGAAGAAAACGCCGAGGGCCACAGCCCAGGTACCGAGGCGCCTGCAGTGGAAGGTCGGAGTTCAGCCCCGGGCGGTGGCTCCAGCTAGGGGTAGGGAGGGACAGAAAGGCTAGTCAAGGGTTAAGCCGAGGCCTAGAGATAACAGAGGAAGGACATTGCAGGCGGAGGGAACTCAAGAGCAAGGCTAAGAGGCTGGAGATGGTGTCTGCGTGGCAGCCTCTGGCTGCGGCCAGAGGGGTGGGTGACAGGCCCGGCTGATAGGACCTTGAGTCCCAGCCTCGCAGCGCAGACAGTGACCCCGGGTTTGCCCTGGTCTCGCCTACTGTAAAGGGGCGCCCCTCTGCCCAGATGCACCCCACAGGAAAAGTGATCATCTTTCCCCTCCCGCTGTGGCCGGATGGGTTTTCAGGGGCCCCAGAAGCTGGGTCTGCGTGGGGCAGCCACTTCCTACGTGGGCCTTGCAACCTTCCTCAGCGCACGCAGAGGGGTTCCCGCGGCAGGGAAAGTGAACCGGCTTCCAAGAGAGCGCAGCGCAGCCGGGCCGGGCCGCTCTTGGATCTCGCTGCGGTGCTGCCGCGGGGAATCTGGTCAGTTCCGGCCCGCCTGACTCTCCAGGAATCTCGGCCGTGGGACAGCCAGGCCCTAGAATGCTGAGGTGCGGGGACAGGGATTTTCGTTCTTCCGAGCCAGTCACCCTAACCTGCAAGGCTCTAAGGGGACGCTGGAGAGGTCCCAGGCAATGGGAGGAGTAGGGCGGATGGAGCAGCCTCAGTGCCCGCGGGCTTAGGGCAGCGTCCGCCGCATTCCCTGTGGGTCCGTCCAGCTGACCTGAGCCGAAAGAGAGTGGCTTGTGTCCGCCCGCGTCCCCCCCCACCTTCTTCCCCTAGTCAGGCTCACCCTCCACACGTCAGTGTACCCGCCCTCGGCCAGCCAGCGGTCACCAGCTGCCGTCACCTCCCCCGCATCCCTCACCCGTGGCCTCCGGCGCTGCGGGCTTCTGAGATCCTCCCTCCTCGACCCTGCCTCAACCAATTCCCAGAAAAACCGTTGGGTTTCCGCTCCCGCCCGCGCCTGTCCTGCTTCGATCCCACTGCTGGCAGCTCTGGGCTAGCAGCCCAGAGCCCACCCGCGCCCCTCTGGCTGCGTGGACTGCGCAATTCGCAATTCGAGCGGGAACGCAGGGCGTCTCTGAGGCCGACCCGGTGGCTGAACTCACGCAGCCCTCGATGCCCCAACCCTCCCAACAGACCCCCTCCAAGTTCCTTCCCTGACAGCTGCCTTTCTCTACCCCAGTTCCAGCAAGTTGCAACTGGAACTGCCTGGGTTGTGATCAGCGAGCCCCAGGGCCTCCCTCCAGGCTCAACAGCCAAACCTCTTCCGGAGGCAGGGGTGGACAGAGAGTGGAAGTAAAAGGAGGACCCCAAGCTCTTGATCACATGCCCTTCACTCTAGAGTGCCCAACCCCACCAGTTCCAGTAGAGAAGTGCTAGAAATGTATTCTAAGGAAATCTGGGTGTGTGTGTGGTTTTTCATTGGATTGGGGAAAGTCCTCAAAGAAAATGAACTATCTCTCCACTCTGTTGTCCTTAGATCAAAGAAGGAAATGCAAGGGATGTGGCAGACAAGACTGACAACACCAGCCTACTGCCAGTAACTCTCCTGAGGACAAGGTCAAGGTATCCCCCCTCCCAGAGAAACACACACACAAACGTATCCTATTAGCATACACTGAAGGATTCATTTGTAAAAACTGGAACTGCTCCTCGAAACTGCCCCTACTCCAACCACACCCACATCCCGGGAGAGGCAGCCTCAGTTCTGTCAAAGAAAACAGTTAACCTTCGGGGGTTTGGAGGAAGCTCCCTAAAATTGATGCTCCTGGCCGCACACTTTACCCATCTATACATCAAAGAAGTTGAGCTCCCAAATCCTAGGGTCACTTGGGGCTCTGACGGTTTGTGAGCTGATGTCAGAGCCACGGGAGAAGGGAGGAAGATGTCTTGGTCCTGAGCTTATGCCAGTGAAGTCACCCAGTGGCTGTGCCTCCTTGGAAGAGATGGTGCCAAAGACAATTGCAGGGGGAGGGGTGGCCAGTTAGATGGAGGCAGAGAGTCCAGGGACCTGGAGGCTAAGCTGGAGCCAGTGCAGATGGGATTGTGGGCAGTGCCCATACCCAGATTTTATGTCAGCTCAGCTGCAAGGCCCAGGATCCTGAAGATGGGCCAGCTTCTCCGCTTCCAGGCCTTCCAGTGAGCACTTTTTCAGGAGTTCAGTGTTGCTCCAGGCAATGGGCCTAACCTACCCCAAAGCCAAAAGGTGACGATGACAGCGATGGCCTGCCCCTTTGGCTGGAAGGCTGAGGTAGTCAGGGAGAGATGAGGGACTTTCTGACCAGCCTTTGGCCACATTCTCAGAACAATGGATGGAGGGGCCCCAGTCCCAGATTCTGCCAGGCCACCTTCCCGTCAAGGTCCAGCCTGGTTTGAGGAGAGCGGGAAAGGCCAGGGAAGGGAGAGGGCGAACCAGCCTCGATGTCTACAGCCCTCCAACCAAGACTTGATTTGTTTTTCAGGGTTTGGCTTAATCACCACTTTCTGAAACAAGACTGAAGCGGAGAGAGGCGACATGGGGCAGGAAGGGAGTGCAGGATGAGGTGGAATTCTGAGGAAGGGGCTAGGCCCCCATCCTCACATCTGGATTGCTTCAGTTTTCCCTTACTAATAGGTACACGTAGCCCCGCTGCTCCAGTGGGTGGGGTGGGAGCCCTCCCGCCTTCTTTACTGCAAATCGAAACCAGGTCGGTTTTGAAAGGAGACCTAGATCTCCTCTCCCCCCTCCCCCGCCATGTCTCCCGCCCCATCCCCTCACCCTCCTCCCCACCCCCACAACCCAGGGAATCCGAGGAAGGTTTGAATCCCGCTAGCTGCGTCCAACCAGGCGAGGGAGAAGTGTAGGGGCACACAGGAGCCCTACCAGAAGTGGGAAGAGTGGCCACGGCTGAACTTACCTGCCTCGAGTTCCTGAGGGTGCTCTGCAGGGCCGCAGAGGGGCTGAGGGAGCGCCGCCGGTTGCTGGCAGGGCAGGTAGGAGTCTCTGGGTTTCGCTGGCCCGGTGTAGGGGTAGGACAGGAGGTGGCCATACGGCCTGGAGTAAGACAAATCGGGGGAGGCTGCGGTTGTAGGGGACAGGCCAAGCGGGTAGGCAGCCACTACCGACGGGACGGGGGCAAGGTCTGGGAAGAGAGCTTTGGAGGCGTCCCGGCCGGCGAGCGGGCAGGGCAAAGAGGTCATTGTGGCCAGGGCCCGGGCTGAAGGGCCATGGCCTGGCACGTAGTCCGCTCCCTCTGCCAACTCTCTTTTCTAAGCCAGACGGGCCCCCCAGCCAGCAGCACCCGGGGAAAGTGTTTCTTTGCGCTTCTTTCAGCGGAGCACTCGCGCCTGGGAAAGGGGTTCGGGGCGGGGGTGCCCCTCATGGTTTTCCCCTCCCCCCTAGATCCATGGGGGGCCCCCCTCCTCCATCGGGTTTGGTTCCAGGGACTCGACGGGGGCCCCTCCCTCTTAGACGCCCCGGATTGGCTACCGCCCGCAGTGACCTCACGGAGACTTGGAGCCGGGCCCCGCCCCCCCCAGGACAGCCCTCGGTAAAGAAGTGGGAAATGGGAGGGGGCGGTGCGCACGCCCAGCTCGGTCTATCTTGGCGTCTTCTCCAAGAGGTGCTGGGGTTGCAGGGCAGTTGGTGCAGTCCGGGAACCGCGGTTGTAATGGCAAAAATGCTAGAGAGGTGGTAAGCCTGGATGCCCAATGGACGGGGAGCTGGGCAGTGGGCAGAGGCCCTGGGGCTGCAGGACGCAGGGAATCTGCATTCCCAGCCTCCAGATCTCGGGGGTCTGCACGCCAAAAGCCTCCGTGGACCTGCAGGGGAGTCAAGTGCAGACCGCCAACGCCAGGCGCTTAGTCAGTGCATCGGAATGCGTCGCTGCTGAGCACCGGCAGTTTGTTGGTAAATAGACGCCGGGGCTGGGAGGGTGCCGCCCGGCGCCCAGCCTGCCCCGCACGTGTGTGTCGCGCACGCCCCCGCGGGGCGCCCTCGGCCTGGCACTCCGCGACCCGCCGCCACTGTACCCCACTGCCCCCCCATGCTGGCTTCCGCTTCCGGCAGGGGCCCGGGTTTGGTGGCGACACCGCAGCTCCTCGCAGGCCCCCCGAAGCTGCAGAAGGGATCCTCCCTCTGAGCTTTAGCCCGTGCGGTGCTCCTGGCTCCGCAGGAGGCTGAAGTGTTGCTTGAACCCGGACAAAATCTGGGAGTGGAGGATGAGTCCAGTTGGATGGCTTCTGGGAGGGCACAGGAAATACTGCAGGCCAGTCTCCCTGGCGAATTTTCCAGGCTGTGTTCAAGACTTGCCTCTAAACATTAGTGTCCATAGCCTTGATGGACACGTGTCCACATATACAAGCATTTATTTGCACGTGTACACAACTACACAGGGACTCCATTCAAATACAACATATATACTCACATATACCAATATGCAGGTGCCTACACTGATGTTCACACCAGCATTCGTTCATTTATGGATCTTCTGAGTTCAGGCTGTGATGTGTGTACACATCTATATACCTAAAGACGAATTAGCACTATCCCTGAATAAAAGCACTATCCAGTACTTGTCTTTTACATAGATTCGATATGCAAGTCAAATCACTGGTGTGTGTACTCAAAAATACAGAAGATCTAAGCATCTAACATTTATACTCGTGTTGCTACCCCATGAGAAATACCCGTCCACACACATCTAAGATGCCTTACCTTAGGGGAGAGATAGTTCCATCCCTAAACCCACCGGTCTTCACAAATTCCCCAGCACAAAAACCCACATACGTGTTCCCACTTTATACAACTTGGCAGGCATATTCATGTTTGTACACACACACATGCTTTCACTGTTAGGGATCAGAGTGAAGGTAGTAGTCACAGATTGGGAGATGGAAGAGCATGGTGATAAGAAAAAGAGATTAGGCGAGGTGGCTCAGGCTGGTAATCCCAGCATTTGGGGAGGCTGAGGCAGGCAGATCAGTTGAACTCGGGAGTTTGAGACCAGCCTGGGCAACATAGGGAGACCCATCTCTACAAAAAGTACAAAAATTAGCCAGTCAATGTGATGCATGCCTGAAGTCCCAGCTACTCAGGAGACTGAGGCAGGAGGATCACTTGAGCTCAGGAAGTCAAGGCAGCAGTGAGCTGAGATTGTGCCACTTCACTCCAGCCTGACTGACAGGGTGAGTCCCTGTCTCAAAAAAGGAGAACAAAGAAAGAAGGAGGAGGAGGAGGAGGAGAAAGAAGAAAGAAGAGGAAGAGGTGGAGGAGGAAGAAGGAGGAAGCCTAGAAGAATAGGAAAACACACTGGGGAATGGCTGGGCTCAGGCCTCCTAAGAGAAAAAATCACCCAAATGGGTGTGCAGGGGTGATTGAAGCTCACAACAGGAGTCCTGCAGGGAGGAAGGGCAAGTCTATTTCAAACTGGACTCCCCAGTGGAATAGATAGAGGTGAGTTTTTCCAAGGAGAGACTCCTCTAGCTTGGGGCTCACCATCTTGAAGCCTTGGAGCCGGGAAGAAAAGGGCTCTGGCAGGAGAGCTTCCTTCTCCAGGGGCTGGAGACCCCACTCCCCTCTCATCCAAGAAGGTGTAGAGGGTTTGCTCCATAGAGAAATGCTTATTCTTTTTTTTTTTTTTTTAGATGGAGTTTCACTCTTGTCTCCCAGGCTGGAGTGCAATGGCGTGATCTCGGTTCACTACAACCTCTGCCTCCCGGGTTCAAGTGATTCTCCTACCTCAGCCTCCTGAGTAGCTGGGATTACAGGCATGCACCACCACGCCTGGCTAATTTTTGTGTTATTAGTAGAGTGGGGTTTCACCATGTTGACCAGGCTGGTCTCGACCTCCCGACCTCAGGTGATCCACCCACCTTGGCCTCCCCAAAGTGCTGGGATTATAGGCGTGAGCCACCATGCCTGGCTGAGAAATGCTTATTGTATGTGGGACTACCTTTCTCCCTTTCTTCCTTGATTCTAGCCATGCCACCCTCTCCTTAGAGGTGGGGCTGTGAACCTGTAAGGATATGTCCTTCCAAATCTTTCTACTGTCACCATTTTCCTCTAGAGGGAGGGAGGCAGCCTTACAGCAGTGCTGAGGAGAGGTTCCAGGGATGGCATCAAAGGTGTGCATCAAAGGAAGAGAACGTTTTTTGGGGTGGGGTTGGCTGTGAGGGAGAGTTTCCTAAAGGAAGTCTTTTGAGCTGGAATTGACAGGATGAGTGGAAAGATATTTCCTCTTAGAGCCATTGCACAGAATCCTTTCTTGTCGAACCTAGGAAGGAAGGGCAGGCATGGGTTTTCTGGCAGAACTCTGCCACAGCTGACTTTGGGCATCCTCCAAAGCCAGGAGATCCCCAGCGCATACCTGTCTTAAGTTCTAAAGCCCTCAGGGCTTCGCTGAACTCAGAGGATCTTCACCTCTACGGGACAGCAGGACAGACTCTGCAGCCCTTTAGAATTTATCAAGCACTCATAACATCCAAGTCGTGGACGGACACACACACGCGCGCGCACACACACACACACACACACACACACACACACTCAAACCCCAGGTACTATTATCCCCATTTTACAAATGAAGAAACACCTCCTTCAAGGCTCCCTTCTCTCATATTCCAGAGGGTGTGGGGCTGGGGCACCTGTTTAGGATACCCTGGGGTCTCCTCAGATGCAGGCTCCCCAGGGAGAGATCCTCTCCAATTAGAATCCCATCTCACCAACCTCAGGAAAGGTGGGGATGGTGAGGATGTGGGCTGGGAATTGCAGTAATCTCATATTGGATCAGTAGGGAGAGAAAATGCTTGCTTAGGAAAAAAGTTGGACCACTACAGAGAAGATTAGCATGGCTCCTGCACCAGGATGTCACACAAATTTATGAAGTGTTCCATATTAAAAAAAAAAAAAAATTTTAACAGAGAGTGCTGACCGGGCACATTGGCTCATGCCTATAATCCCAACACTTTGGGAGGCTGAGGTGGGCAGATCATGAGATCAAAGAATTGAGACCATCCTGGCAAACATGGTGAAATCCCATCTCTACTAAAAATGCAAAAATTAGCTGGGCGTGGTGGTGCATGCCTATAGTCCCAGCTACTTGGGAGGCTAAGGCAGGTGAATTGCTTGAACCCAGCAGGTGGAGGTTGCAGTGAGCCCGGATGGTGCCACTGCACTCCGGCCTCACAACAGAGCAATACTCTGTCTCAAAAAGAAAAAAAAAAAAAAAAAAAAAAAAAAAGAGGGAGACCTTGAGATGCCCACCTGAGGCCTGGGTTGGGTTCTGGTTCAATTCAGACATGAAGCTGCTGATTGGAGTATTTTGTGTCAGTCATTTGCCTTCTCTGAGACTGGTTTACCAGAAGGGATAAAAGAACTGAGCTGGACTAAGAACTCCAAGCCTTTGTCATTTGCTTTATGTCAAATTGCAAAAAACTAAAATCCAAAACCATAATAAAACCAAGAAGAAGGGGGGAGGAGGAGGGATGGAAAGAAGGAAGAGAAAAAAACCCTCTTTCCTGTCACTACCAATATCTCAGGCCCCTAAGTCGTCACAAAAGCCAGAAGTGGCTCTCCCAAGTCTCCCTCACAGATCCTCTCGCTTAGCGCCAGCAGACCGCTCGGAAAATTCCAGCACCCTGGAAATGCGGTGGAGCCAAACTGCGGGGCCCGGAGTTTGGGGGTGGGGGGAGAAACTGCGCCGCAGGGGTCTCGGGATTCTGCCGAAGTGCCGGTACTGGACCTAATCCGCGAAATGCACGGTTTGCTCACTCTTCTTGGGTTGCCAGGCAAACGCCATCGCACCCGCTCTGGTATTGATTCTTTGCGCGGCATAAGCATCCACGGAGGTGGGATGCATTCCTTGCTTGATCACCCGGAGTTCCGACCCTCCCGGTAGCGGGAACTCCCTCCGAACCCATCCCCTTCCCTGGCGGTCCATCGCGGGCACTCCTAACACTTGGTGAGTGCGCAGAGCTCTCCGCATTGTCGCTGAGCTCGGTAGGGTGCCTACTGCACGGCCCCTGGAGCAGAGGTCTGTGTCTGCGCCGAAGTGTGTAACCCCGAGCCCGCTCTCAGGGCAGCACCTGGGTGGATCTGCCCAGGGGAACAGAGATACAACCGCGACCACAGTCCTCCGCAATCCGTGGCCCTTCCGGGACTATGCGTGCCCTTTTTCCTCTATCCCACCCACCAGCCCCAAAACGAACTTTTAGTTTAGTGTTGTCATTCTCAGGGGATTTTAGGTTTTATTTGAAAGCACCTTTGTCTCTTAGTAGCTCAGATTGGAGAAACTGGATAATTCGGTTTGGTGCCGGTAGAAAAGGAATCAGATCTTCGCCCCAGCCTTCCTGAGCTCGGCCCTGGGTGCTGTGAATAGAGCCCCCGTATTCAGCGAGGCCGGGCGAAGGGGCAGCCTGGAGAGGTCTGCGTCCTCCTCTCTGATT